GTCGTTCAGGGCTGAGATATTCGAGGTCGTTCAGGGCTCGGATGTTCGGGGTCCCTCTGGGCTGAGATTTCGGGGGTCGCACAGGGCTCACATTTTCGAGCTCGCTCAGGGCTCGGATTTTCGAGGGCGCGCTTGGATTTTCAAGGTCGCTCGAGGCTCGGATTTTCGAGGTCGCTCAGGGCTCCGTTTTTCGAGAACGCTGAGGACGTGTGAGGTGCATGAAAATCATTTACATCTGGATTGCAAGCATGAGGTAGTGGATGTGTATGGAAATCATTTAAATCTAGATTTACATGATGAGGTAGTTGAAGTGTATGGAAACCATTAAAATCTAGATTCAAAGTATGTGGTAGTTAAGGTGTCTGGAAATTGTTTAAATCTAGACTTGAAGGATGAGGACATCTGCGGTGTGTGGGGAAATCATTTAAATTTAGATTTAATTGATGAAGCTAGGTGAGGTGAATGGAAACCAGATGCATCTGGATTCAAATGAACGTATGTAGCGAATCGACGTGCCAGGGGTTCGATCATTAAAATCCAGTTTGAAACGAATATCAAAACTAGAACCCAGACTATAGAGATAGTAGTTTAGTTTACCGATACCCCAGTCTGCAGGTTTGTTGATTTTCGAGTTGTCATATTTCCCCGTGTTTGCTCGGGCAATTTCAGGGAGATGTAATTTTTGGCATGTTGTCCTAGGTGCGATCTGGTCGTTGATTATGTCTTGTGTCGTTCGATTATGTGTATAGCTGTTTCTTTGTTGGTGATTCATGGGCTTTTTGTATCGTATCTGTGGGTATGTTTACCGTCGTTTTGGTTTCTTACTAACGTGATAATTGCTGCGAGATTTCATGTTTGGTTCGGATTTTGATTATTTTGGTTATTGGATGGATTGGCCCCCCTCTTCCATTTTCATTATTTTCGACATGCGTAACAGGATTCGCGCATAATTCTGTTAGACATATAGAACTCCGATAGTCGAAAGTTATTGTTATTCGGGTTTTTCATTCTGATTTGGTTTCTGTTAGAGTGTACAGTGTTTGAAAGATTTCTGATTTGTCATATTTCAAAAGTTCTGGTGTTTTGTAATTTCCGAAGACTTTAATCTTAGTAAATGGAAATACCAGTCTATCATGCAGCATAGTCATAGCGTGAATTGTTTGCAGGATAGATTGTTATTTAATATTTGGTTTGTTTTTATGTTCCTTTTTCTTCTATCTTTCTCTGTTTCAAATTTTGTTTTGTTGTTTTCCAACTAGTTTGGGTTTTGTATTCCTAGTTGGGATTAGTTATATTTGATCATTTTTTTTTGTTTTTTTTGTTGTGTGTGTGTGTGTTTTTTTTTTTGTTTCGGGGGGGGGGGGGGGTCTGTCTCTTTTTCTGCTTCTTCTTTTGGGTTCTGTTGTTTCAGATTTTCCCTTATTCTTTCCGTGCAGGTCTCTATTAGTGCGGATGTTAGCGTTGGTTCGCCTGCAGGTCGATTGTTTGGCGTTTCGGGCGACTTTCTTTTGCCAGGTTTCTGATTTCAAGGCAGTTGTACTAATGGAACGTGATTTGTCGAGACGCATTAAAAGAAAGAGAAAGAAGTTGTCAGAGACATCAGTATTTAGTACGCGCAGTGATTATGGCGGAATCATGTATCAAGACAGTGGCTAAATGGCAGCCGCTGTGACACGAGCTATCCAATTGAAGCCCGTCGCTCGGGCGGTCTGTGAAGAAGGCTGTCGCTGGGGCGGCCATCGCATTAGCTTGGCAGTTTTTTTTTGTATCCCGCCTTTTTAGCCTTTCGCAATGTCTGGTGCTCTTTCCTCTGCTGTGCCCGGCGAGGCGACTGTCTTGTCAGAGATTGTCTTTTCGAAGGTCGGAATAGGATCCAAGTGTGCTGTGGGGCGGTTTTCCGACAGAGTAAATATCGTGAAGGCAGCGCTCGCCCGTTCGCCCGGTGGTTTCCCGAGCAGAAAAAGTCGAGAAAAGAGGACATCATGGACGGGTTGATTGACAGCGTCAAGGAGTCTCATTTTGTGCCTGCCTTGTGAGGTATTGGCAACGGGAGCGCAGAGCCGAGCACTGTTGCTTCTACAGCGGTTGTTTCTGGAATTGGCCATTTGGGCAGTTCCGGTGTATGTAAAGCTTTTTGGGCGGCGTGTATGCGGCTCCCGGCCTCAGCCCTGGTTGCGGAGGTCCCGGTGCTGAGCCGAGCGCCGCTGCTGTTGTGGCGGCTGCTCCCGGCGCTGGCCCCGCGGGTGGCGGCCCCGGTGCGTGCAGCGGCCCTTCAGGTGGCATGCGTGCGGCTCTTGGGACCAGTTGCAGGTGCGGGTTTACGTTCCGATGCCAGCACCTGCGCTTCTGGAGTTCCCTTCAGAGGCGTCCGTCGGCGGGAAGGCGTCGTGCGAAATTCTGAAGCAGATAAACGGCAATATGGCAACGTTGCCATTTTGGTCAGCAGTGCACGAGATGATTAAGAAGGGGAGTACAGTGAAGATTTCGGAGGTTGTGGGCCCCTTGAAGGACGAGATGGCGGAGCTGCGGGCCAGGATGACTAGAATGGAAAGCTCTGGTGGCTCCGGATCGGCTAACAGGGGCACTTCTTCGAAGCAGCATATCGCGTTGATGAGCTGCAGAATCGACGTGGCGAATTGCCAGCTCGGTTTCCTCCGCTCCCAGACGGATTCATTGTCCGAGCGAGTGCGGGACATTCAGAGCATTATTGGCCAGGTCGGTGTCGTGCAGCCTCTTCACGTGGGGCGTTTTTTATAAAAGGTCCCGGGGATGCACGCGGAAATTATATATATATATATATATATTATATATATATTATATATATATATATATATATATATATATATATATATATATATATATATATATATATTCCCGTATTCATATTATATGCGCGGCGCGTTTGAAAGCGGGACGCAACGGCAGTGCATTTTCTGTTTCGACTGGGATTTTTCTTTTGAAGCCCGCCAAAACGAGAGTTATTGTGATGCAAGACGGCGTTTGAAAAGCAGCCCTGCACAAATTGAAGGCGGCCGTGCCAGGCAGGGGCGTTAATATCGATCACAAAGAGCATTGTTCCTGTAGGCGGAGTTCCGGCGTTCTCGCAGGAGCCCGGGGATTTGTCCAGTCGATTCCTTCCGCCCCTCGAAACCCCGACGATCTAAATGTCGCGGGGTCGTTCGCTGAATGGAGAGTGTTTGATAATTCCTTATCCTTTTCTCCTTCCTGCTGGATTTCTCTTTTCCATGGTGATTGTGCTGCCGTCCACTCTGTGAGTAGCGTGCGGCCCCCTCGTTCTCCTTGTCTTTCTCGCCTTCCTCGCCCTCGCCCTTCGTTCTCTCAGCGAACATTGCACGATTTTTTGATCGTTCAGAGCCAGACTTACTGAATTCACCTCAGACAGGCGGCCGGTGCGATTCCCGTCTAGAGCCTGTCGTTGATTTTTCTGACCTCACCATTTTTTGAGCTAGTATTCAAGGTTTTCTGAACAACTTTTTTTTCGGGCTACCTCCTTCCGAACCATGCTCTCGCTGCAGCGTTGGCCTTATTTCCGCGCTTCCGCTCGTTCCGAAACGTGTTCCCGTTGCAGCGCTGGCGTCATTATTTCCAGCGCCGTGCCACGGCATGGTTTTCGGTCTTTCCAAAGCGGCGCCAATCTAAAATATGCCCCCCCGAAAGAACTTTCGGAAATGACGACACAGTCGATGTCGATTCGTTGATTTGTTCGGCCGCAGAAACACCCCCCACTTTGGGGCGTCGCCGCGCCATGCTATGTCAACATACGCGTTTTCAACACCATGTTATGCCATGTGATCCTATGCCCTGCTGCGACGTCCGACCGTGCGAATACAGAGGAGCTTTACGCCATGCTAAGGGATGGGAGGGAGGAGTAGGACGTCGTATATGACGCGAACGCACCTGGCTTGCCTTCCTCTCCTCCCTCCCTCCCTCCCCTCCTTTCCTCCCTTCCTCCTTCCCTCCTCCTCAGACGCCTCGTGGCCCCAGAGGGAGCTCCACCGAAGGTCGTTCATGGCCCCACAGGGAGCTCTACGGAACCAATGCCTCAGTGGCGCCGCCCGCATCCGTCCCCACCACCCATCTCGGCACACGCTAACAGGTTTCGTGGCCCTGTAGGGAACTCCGCCGAAGGTCCTAGTGGCGCCGTTCCCATGCGTTCCCCACACCCATTTCGGCACCCGTTTCGTGACCCTACAAGGAGCTCCACCGAAGGCCCCTGTGCCAGGTTTCGCATGCGGCTCCCCGCCCACCGCATGTCCATTTCGGCACGATCCCCTCACAGGGTTCGTGGCTCCATAGGGGGGTTCCCTAAATTCGTCTCGCCGGCCCCGCGGTATTCACACCTGCATTTGGTGGGGCACGTTGCCAGGACAAGGTTCACATTCTCCAGCTTTCGTCCGGTTCCGTTCAGCTGCTCTCCCCAGTGTCGCCGCGGAACAGGCACGGGTTACATAGCAGTCGCTGCCAGGCGCAGGCAGGAGCAGTCGCGGGGTCGTGGTGGAGAGTTCGTTTTCGAGGCCTACGCGGGACATGCCGTCCAGAGGCATCGCTTCCTGATTCGTCTCCGAGAGGTTCTGCGCCGTGCCTGATCTGCTGTACGCAGTCCACCTGCAGGAACGCGACGGTATCTGCGCTGGCTCCTCCGCCTGGGCCCAGGCCGGGACACGTACGAGCGGTTTTGGCACGCCCTGGGGATGTCGAGAACGCGCGGATGGGACATCTCTAGCGTCGGCGGCGAGCGAGCGGGGTCAGTGAGAAGGAGAAGGCCTTCTCAGAAGCCCTCGCGCCTTCTGAGAGGCTTTCTGTGTCTTCGGGGGAGGCTCCGAAAACTTCTCAGAAGGCCGGGGGGACTTCCGAGCCTTCTGAAAAGGCCTGCCCCCTCTCACTTCCCCCCCTCGCTCGCCGCCTGGTCCCGTCGCCAGTCAGGGGCCGCCGCCGCCCGTGCCTCGGTTTTTCTGCTGCACCTGGCGCCCGTGCCGGTCAGTTTCCCAGGGAGGGGGGGGCGTGCGCGCTGCCAGTGCGCGTCCACCGCCACCCCGCGCGCGCGCGCCCGGGATGGCGAAGCGCATGCACGGTGCGACCGCCGCAGGCCGTGGGATCCGGAGGGCCCCCCCTCGCGTTGCGAACAAAAATCGCGACGGGAGGCTTTTCGCTATGTTCGGCCTCCGAGGGCCCTTCCCGGACCTCGGGACCGTCAGTCGAACGACGACTCAGGATGATAAACTGGCTCCGGGGAAGGGGTCCAGATCTGTGGGGGTCGACGTTGCGCAAAAATCACGACGTCGGGGGGAGTCTGCGACTTGGTGGGGGCTAGGGGGCTGATGGATGGGAGGGGGAGGGTCGGGGCAGGAAGCAAGAGGTACCGATACCGCCACCCTCACGTCGTCGCCACGGCGGGATTCGCTTCTGAATCTGGGTCAGGACTCACTCCAGGAGAGGACCGTGGAGTGGCGGCATCGGTATCCTTTTTTGCCCCCCTTCTGAGAGGGAAGATGTTGTGGGAGTACGACAGGGGTCCATTGAGCCAGGTCGAGGTAGTCAGAGGGCCCGCCTACTTCAGGAGGGAAAAACACCCACAGACACAATTAATCGTCGATTCCCAAGAAAATATGGGAAAATATGGGAAGTCGGGGGGAAGACAAAAACCCAGAAAATATGGGACAACATGGGGAATCCTTTTATTTGTGTCTATTTATTTGCGTGTCCCAGGGCCCCTTCATACTATTCCTACCCTCCCTCCCGCAACACAGTAATCAATTGTGGCAAAACTTGATACCGGGATTCGAACGTGCCCCCACCTCTCTAGGCCTCCTAGATGGGGTCGGAGTAGATGGGGTTAGAGGATCGTGCCGCATCGCCGATGCATCGCCGATGCGGCTTGGAGCCCGATTTGCTTCACGTCGACGTCGCCGATGCATCGCCGACGTCGACGATCTTCCGACCCCGTCTACTCCGACCCCATCTGGGAGGCCTCTGTCCTCGCAAATGGAAGACGCCCTTGCGCGGCCCCGCTTCCGACGACTCGGCGACAAACAAGACTACGCGGGGCGCGCAGGGGCGGGAGCAGCAGAGCCTCCGAGGGGCGCGGCGAAGACGAAGCACGCGCCGCGCTGACTCGGCATCACCACTCTGACTCGCAGACTGCGCGGCGCTTGGTTTCACCCCCTCTCGTCGCTCGGCCCTGCTGCCACTGTCGCTGTCATGCGCTTCGGCGGAGGAGGAGGAGGAGGAGGAGGAGGAGGAGGAGCAGGAGGAGGAGCGAGCCATGCGCCGCGCCCGCGCCGGAGCGCCACTTCCGAGCGCTCCCGAGGTCAGAGGCGCACGCGGAGCGTGGGCGAGGGAGGCACGTCGCGCACGCTCTCGCGGGCCCCCAGCACTATAGCGAGTGAAAGGATGCGCGCCGCGTCGGGGCGGGGGCGCCACTTTCGGGCGAACTGTGCGCAGGTGCGGAGTCGAGAGCGACACGTTCGCCCGCTCGCGCGTCGACGCAGATGCGTGCGACACGTGCGCGCCGCGCCCCGAGGAGGAGGAGGAGGAGGAGGAGGAGGAGGAGGAGGAGGAGGAGGAGGAGCCGGGAGCAGCTCTCTCCAGAGACATGGGCGCCGAAGCGAGAGAGACACTTGGGCTCTTCCCGTAGGGTGTGCGCCCCGTCCCACTCGTGCCGCGCAGTCTGCAACACGGGCGACGTCATATTCTTGTTGGTACCCGAATCGATGACTGTTTTTTTGTCATAGGTCGGGTTGGACCACCGTGATTGGGCCCCTGTCGGCAGGCCAGGTGGCAGCGTAGGGGTATGTCTATATGTCTGTATGCCTGTATGTCTGTATTTCTGTGTGCCTGTATGATCGTATGTCTGTGTGTCTGTATGTCTGCATGGCTGTCTGTCTGTCTCTCTGCCTGTCTGTGTGTCTGTTTGTCTGTATGTATGTCCACGAACAAAGAATCATGTTCGTGTGCGTGGGGCCTCGAACGCTTGTCCAACTCTTTCATGATCGCTTGCAAATGCGACCCGCCACCAGTATCATGCCGTAGCCGTCCAGATGTTCCCTGTGCGCTGATCTGGTATATCGTCGGTAGGGTGTTTCGTTAAATGTTTCAAAGTCGACTGCGTAGAGGACGATTGTTCCAAGGCCGTGTTCGCACAGCGGTGGTGTTGTCCCATGCGCGCGCGCGTTCGTCCCAGTTCGAGTCCGGCTGCGCATCCTCCCTCATCCTGTTCCGCCTGTTCCTCGCGCTCTCCCTGCTTCTCTGCTCGGCATCGTGGAACGATGAAGCACAATTCGATCGCATAGATTGAGCTCGATCGTTCTAGATATTGTGCGTAAGGGGTATTCAAAGCACGACATGCACCTAAAGGCATTGGTTTTGATGTAACAGGTTGCAGGCTTGAGTATTGAGTGCGATTTCGAACTTATGTGTGTATGTTTTGACATGCACACGTACATATGCGTTGGACGCAATCTCTTACATCATGCAATCAAACAGTGCAAGTCGGCTTCACTCGATGTCTTACAACGGCTGTTTCATTGTGTTGTGAATCGTAGTGTCTCTGAGTTCCCCCAATCAGCTTTCAATACTAAAGTATAATTCGTGGTGCACCTCACGTACCATAATACATTGGTCAATTTAGCGTGGCTGGCCGCGTTTCAGCCCAATCTGGCTAAACTATATCGGTTAGCGCTGCTATAGCAGTTCAGTTTGGCCAGTTAGCCTGATTCACTTTGGCTAGAATCATTTGTTTAGTGATGCGCGACAGCCTGGCCCTGCTAGCTTCGCAGAGCCAGTTCAGAGCGGATAGCTTTGGGTGGCCAGTTTTGCAGGTTCGTCTGTCAGTCGCTTCCAGTATTTCGAGGTTAGTCCAGCGGGGCTGGCCCAGCCTTGCTAGCTCAGTTGAGCAACCTTTGCGTGGCCATTCCAGTGTGGCGAGTCCAACGTGGGTGGCTTGGACTGGCTATCCTGGCCCGTCCAGCATTGCCTGGTTATGATTGACCCAGTATTGCCGCCTTAGCATTGCTTGCTTGGCGTGGCGTGCGGGGTGAAATGAGAAGTCTGGTGTGCCTTCCGCGACTAGCCGAACCTGGCGCACTTCGTGTGGCAGGTCGGGTTTGGCCAGTCTTGTCTGATTTTCCAACTTTGTCCTGGCGACTCTGGCTAGTCTCGCAAGCTTGGTATGACGCTCTTGGTGTGGACAGCCTGACCGGTCTAGCCTCGCCAGGTCAGCCTAACGCGGCGAGCAGGAGTTTGTGTAGGCAGCGATTCGATCGGGATCGACCACTTTCTCATCGAGATCGGTAGCAGTGCGAGACGCAGCGCGCCCCCCTCTCGTTCTCCTCTTTCCCCCCTTCGCGC